AATCGAACAAAAGCTGCTAATAAATCCTTTCAATTTATGGGGTGACTGTCTGTTTGTACAATACGGAGTACATATTTATAATATTATGTGCATGTAAAATGTATTACGAGTACTTATAATATGATCTCGGGATAGACATGTGTGTATCGATGAAATAATCTTAGATACCTAGGTTAATGAGTGTTAGTAAAATGAATAAACTAAGATCAAATAAGTAGAAATGTCTAATTATTAAAATGAGTCGAACTTTCAACAACAGAATGAGTAAAAGAAATGGATTGTTAAATGAGTACATAAATCCTCACCTATTACTATTTATATTCCACATAATAAACATTAATATTGACCAAGAATAATTATTCCTCCTCAGCCCTCATCTATCACTATTTATACACCACATGTCCACATAAAGTAACAATAATTTGGCCTAATATTTGCCAAAATTGTTAAAAATCAAAGAGTAGCAAAGTCAAAGCATGGGCTAAAAGCGATGTGAAAAAAAGAGGGGGAGAAAAATAAATGACAAAGATATGATATGAGGAAGAAAAGACTCCATCAGGTACATGCACATCCAATCACGAAACAAGTCAATCCACTCATCATACTTGGAATTATTTATTTATACTAACCTTGATTTTATTAGGTGGTCCACATATTTAATTTATTTAGTCAAAATAACATATTGATATACTCCTATAAATAGTTATTAGGTAAGATCTTCCCTAAATTTAGTCATGGCTAGTGGATAATTGAAATTGATATGTCCAACTTATAAGGGACAAATTCCATTTTTCTATGTGGGAATGAAGATAACAAAAGGAGACTATAAAATCATCGAATAAAGTAAGTCTATGTCTTTGTGATGATCATCATATGACGAACCAAAAGTGAAATGTTATTGTGTATCAATTATTAATTTGTGATTTGCTTGTGCTACCATATCTAATGGTAGAAATTTAGTGCAACAACTTTCTAGTCTTTCTATGTTACATTATTATTAATATATATGCATGTTATTATTATCGGTTTAAAATTGGGTATATTGAACTTCATTGATATCTTTTCTAATTATAGAAAAAAAAAAAATAGTGTCAATGACAATAGGTCTTTAGTTGTTAACTTGTTACACCTTAGCTAATTTAGTATGGATTATTCTCTTTTACTTAATTTCTTTTCTAACAACTAGTCATTATTTTGTACTTCATATTATCATAAATACCCCATCTAATAGCATAGTAATTGAAGGTTGTATAATTGGTTTAAAATATATATATATATATATTAATGTATGCATGCATGGTACGCCAATTGATATCATTTAATGGATTTATTGAAAGCATAAATTAATAAGATTAGGAAACCATTTTTCTAACAATGCTCCAGAAAATGATGTGATTAGTTTTCGTAACAACAACTACAATATGATTGCTAGAAACATAATTAACCTGGTAATGTAGACATGATTAATTAATTGATGAGTAGCTACTTAGCTTAGCTAGGGAAGGAGCAGGAGGAACCCTAAGCTAGCTAATGCAATAATTATGTGAGTAGGTGAGCAGTTAAAACTTAATAGTGACATTTCATTAAAATTTGGTTAACTTTCAGCATTGCTTTTATACTCTATTCCTCTGAATCAACAGCCAAACTTCAAGTAATGACAAAATCCAAATACGACCCCCTTATTTATGAGCAGGAGATATAATAATGAGATAGACAAATTTTAAATGCAAACGCCATATTGTTGTCAAGTTTACTTTTATGGTCCCATGGGAATACAATCTCGACCCCTCTACACTTAAAATTATCAAGTAAAGATCAATTATTTATCGTAAGTAGGTTATGCAACGCTGACCCCTCTTATTATCTAATACCGAGTACCAGGCTTGGGTCGTAGTGAAAACTAAGAAAAAGAGTCTACTTTTTTATAAGTCTAAGGAGGTTAATTTCATCCCAAAACCATATAATATTGACATTTAATTGGAGAGAGGTCCCTTAGCCTTATAAACATGGAACACTTACATGTGTTGTTAAAGTAGGCTATATCTCAACATCTACAAGAAACCGTCAAAGTAAGAAACATAATTCAACATTTTTGATGAGTACAATTCATTAGGTTGAAAATTTTTAAGCTACTTAATTAAATCAATTTCTCATAGATAGTTGAGACGTTAGGTAGGTTACCTTGAAATCAAAACTTTAATTTAGTTCACAATTCAAATATTCATTTCTCTGATTGAAACTAAAATGAGGGTCGAATCTTAAAAAATTCCAAAATAAAACTAAAATGAAGATCGTAATTTTAAAAATCTGAACAAATTTGTTTGATATAATATTATCTTTGTTTCATATTATTTGTTGTTGGGTGTGGTCCAAATTTTCTAAGCCCATTATTTTAGTGGAGTATTGTGCATATTTTAGAAGCTTCCGTAATGATTAAGCAAGGTCATAACTTGCTCATGATTTCTCTAGAATAATAACCTACTTGAACGTTTTATAGAAGTATTGACATTAGAAACAATTAGATTAGAATATAATACATGGTTTGTGAACATTCTACAATATTAAGACTACAAGAATGATGGAGAAATTTCTGAAATATTTAGGCCATTTCTTCCAAGCTCCATTTACAGCTATAAATATGAGTCATGGGCATTCAAGGTACGTGTATCTCACATCTGAAGTCATACTATACACACTAGCTTTTCTACCTACAATTTTTATTAATTGTCTTGTATTTATCTTTCTCCTATTTATTTTATAAATCCCTACATCTTTAATTTACTTCCATTATGCACTCATCAACCCTAACATTTACAACAATTAGACATTTTCTATACAAATTTTATGTTAAATCATTACAAATAGTATGAAACGGAAGTGACATTATATATATTAGGTAACTAGGTAGACATATTAAAGCAAAAAACACTATTAAATCCCTTATGATAATTTAAATTATTGTATCTTGATACGATTAGAATATTTAAAATCAAAATATATTTAATTACCAAGATTATAGTTCAAAGTCACGGATTCTTTCATTTTATTATAATCTCTTGATGTTGCAACTCACTTCATTCCCCTTATTAAAAAAATCACCATATGAATATATGGAACGTGCATCAAAGTAATACATAATAGTTATAATTTATTAGCATAATTACATATACAACTCACCATTGGTAAATGATGAGCATATACTTGTATATGCATCATTGTACGAATATACCGACCACAATGTAATTTATAGGTAGGTATAACTATTTTTGGAGTTAGCTAGATAGGACAAGTATTGTCAATGTAAGGATATGATCTTATATATTCCCATTGAAAATTTACAAAATTGGTATTGTGTTTTAGCACATACAAGAATCGAAGTGACGGCTAGACTTGTTTTGGGTTGCATGATGCTTTTTGGAAACCATTTAATTACTATGTCGTCGTATGTCGTAATTCATGAAGAGTTTGTGGTTCAATCTTATTTGTGCTTTACCAATCGTTCAAAATTTATTCAAGGATTGATTTAATATATGTTTTAATTAGTTTAATATCTATATGCTAACGTTTTGTTTAAGAAAATTCTAATTTAAAATTCATACCTCAAATTCAAAAGGTATGGGAAATAGAAACTCAAATAGAAGGTGAGGTATGACTGTATGATGTACTCATATCAACCACTTTTTTGTTGTTAGTTTTCAAAATTAATATGATTTTAATAAGTTAGATCGATTTTTTTTATTCATTTGTGACATATTCACATATACTTCTTCTGTTCTGTTAATATTGCAACAAGGAGGAAATTACGCATCTCGAAACACCTTTTATATGCTAAATATCTATAATTGTGTAAGAGTAAAAATTATAAAAAGTTGATATTGTGAAAGTATTTTATGAGACGAATCCAACAAGATCCCACTTGACTATATTTTTCTAACGTATAATTCATATTATATGGTCAAACAAGAGTAATGAATAGTGCAAAAAGTCCATTGTTGCAATATTAATAGAACGGAGGAAGTATCCTATAATTTAAAAAACCAAAAAATAGAAGATTGTAACTACACCGAACGGACCCAAAGGTATTAACAATGAAGTTATTACCCAGTATGCCTTTACCACTTTGATTTTATTCTTGATTCCAAATATATATATGATCCCCTATGAACCAAATAAATGCCTCCTTCTGTACTTTGTGATGCAATGAACTGAGCACTGCCTATGAACAAGTCTGCTAATCTCATGTGTGTCTGGGAAGGAAATGAAGTTGCACCTACATAATCTAGCAAAGTTTTTTCCTGTTAATTTAGAGCAAGTTTGGATTAGGAACGTCCTTAGGGAGGTCTCCCCGTACTCATGGATGCTCGATTCTCTCATTATGAATGTATAATTTGCTTTGCCTGAAAAAAAAAAAAAAAAAAAAAAAGCTCCCTTAAGGCCTGTTGACATTTACTGAACTAAAATGAGTTGAATGAATATTTTATGAGAGAATGAAATTAGGAGCTGAACTGAACTGAACTAAACTGATCGGAGCTAAAATGAACTGAAATTAAATGAAATTAAGCTGGAGTGAGCGCTATTATACTTATACTCCACATATACTTCCTTTTGTGTTTACATGAGTGTGTTTACATAGGTTCACGTGTTCCTTCAACTTGGATTGTCCATGTTCATTGTTACTTAGAGTACGTTTAATTTACTTTTAATTTTGTTTCTTGAATATATTTGAATTTAACTGAATTATTTCAATATACTTAGCTTGAACTTATCTAAAATTTGACAGTATTTTATTTACATGATTTTCTTTGTTGAACTAATTTAATATTATTTAAACTTATCAGATCTAATCGAAACTTATCAAGACTTCATTGAACTTATGGTAACTTATATTTGTTGCAAATTGAGCTATAATTGGAATTAAGTTTATGATTGATTAGTCATAGTGCCATGGAACTATAATGATATCAATCACGTCATACATTCATACCTCATTAATTTAAGGGCTATATATAACCATTAAATATACTCTTGGAAATTGCATAAAATTAGGAATTCATGACAAAAACACGCGTAAATCAGTGTTATTAGTGTTTATATTTTGATGATTTCTTAACTTTTTACGATTTTTAAGTGTAAATTTAATGTTTATATGTATTAATCCATTAACATTTTAAACACCAATTTAAAATTTGAACACAAGGATTTATTAATGGCAAGTAGAGTAAACAATGAATGGATAAAAATATTAATTATAGTCCTACCGGATTAGTACAGAAAATAAAATCAAAAAAATCGGTTTTGACAAATGGGATATGAGATAACTATCCAAGATTAGAATACTCGTATTTGGTATTAACCAAAAATACCAAAAAATATAGGGCATTTTAGTAAATTCAATAAAAAAAATTGAACAGTGTTACAGCGCAGTAAAAAAGAAAAGGGGTAAATTCGAGAAAGTCAAGAAATGAAAGAACAGAAAGATTTGGGCTACAAAATGGTGAGTCAGATTTCATAAAGTGATAAAACTGAAAATAGGAACAAAATCAAAAAAATAAAACTCCGTATAAATCTAAACATCGGACGGCTGAGATTGACTAACACCATAGATCGAAAGGTCAAAGTTGAAAGACAAGATATAGTTAGTTGAAGGTTCATTTCACTACTATATACATACCCATACCCACACGCTCACCCTTTCTCTTTCTTCATCTTCTCCATCTCTCTCCATCATCAGGTCCCCTGCCCCCACCTTTAACAAAAAAAAAAAAAAAAAACGAATTGAATATTCTTCTGTCAAAATCCCTTTTAATAAATAAAAATTAAATATAAATACAAAATAAAGCACAAATTTGGCTTCGTCTTCGTTATGGTATGATATTTATTTCTCTCCCATTTTTTGTATAATTTTGATATTAATTGTTATTATTATTATAATTATGGTGTTGATTCGATTTTGAAGGAGTATTCGTTAGTATTCGGATCCTGAAACTGGGAAGATCGGATCCAGTGCACTTTCTTTCTCTTTTTTCCTCCGGTAAACCACGTCATTTCAGGTTTTCTTTCGTTTTATTTGATTCATTGTATTACGACGAAAACGACGTCGTAATCTGGTGTTTATCCGGCGACAGGTGGCAGTATTAAGTGAAGCTTCAAGGAGGAGAGAGAAACAGAAAGAGAAAGAGAAGTGTGGGATGGTATTGAGTGGAGTCCAAGACAATCGTAGGTGATTTTTTTTTTCTTTAATATAATTAATTTTAAAATTAAATATAATTACTCTTAATGTTTGAGATTTGTTTTGTAATTTTCCTCTAACGAATCTAGATAATCTTTTCGATAAAACGTTTTAAAGGAATGATTATCAGTGATTAGTATATAACAATAATTAAGTTAAATTTTGATTAAAATGGTTTAGGTTGTCATTTTTCAATCTTTCTTTATTTCATTTCACTTGTCTTTTAAGGAGTGTTAACGACGATTTATGAATGCGACAACTTTCTTGCATTTTAAGTCGGTGAAACTATTTTTAGGGCGAAACGCGTTTTAGGTTTTTTTTTTTTTGTTCTTGATTTTGATTGGTATGAAAGCGAGAGATTGATTTTTCTGGTAATATGAATGAATGAATGAATGAAGCAGCATTTTAATGGAAATCATACGAGTTGTTGTTTTTAGGTTCATTAATGAAAGATACTTTCGTGTTAATTACTACTAATACTTAATTTATTTCTACTGGTACGAATTAGTAGTATACTTAAGTATTTTTTTAATTTTAATTTTTCAGTACTAATATTAAAATTAATCCATTTGACTTGGAAATATGAAAAAATATGAATGAATATGCTTTTGTGATTCCCTATATATCTGAGTCTAAATCCATGAAACTTCTCCCTCTTTTCTTCATTTTCTCTCTCTTCCCCTAAAATATTATTCATTTTTAGATTTTTGATACTATTATAATTTATTTATGTCAATCAATAGTTCGTTATTTTCCAGATTTGATTGATGATAGTATCTATTTTTTTGGCAGTATTTGAAGCAAATTCATTCTAAAAAAAAAGGAATTTATTGTGTAAAAAAATAAAGGGGAATTGAAGATTATTGAAGGTTTCTGGAAATGTCATCGTCAAATTCACCGTGTGCAGCGTGCAAATTTCTAAGGAGAAAATGTACGCAAGAATGTGTGTTCGCGCCATACTTTCCGCCGGATCAACCTCAACGATTCTCGAATGTTCATAAGGTGTTTGGTGCTAGTAATGTTGCAAAGCTTCTGAATGACTTGGATGCTACACAGAGGGAGGATGCTGTTAATTCGTTGGCGTACGAGGCGGAGGCGAGGCTGCGTGACCCGGTGTATGGTTGTGTAGGACTTATCTCGCTTCTGCAGCACCGGTTGAAGCAAGTTCAGACTGATCTGTATTCTGCTAAGAAGGAATTAGCTACTTATATTGGGCCCACTGCGCTTATGCCTATGATTCAGCCTGGTTATGCTAACCCGGGTTCGTCTTCTGCTGTTAATTTGATGCAGCAGCAGTATCATATGGGTCCTATGATGGGTATTCCTACTGGGGTTGCTGCTGCTGGTCCCGGTCCGTCTCATGCTGGGGCACTTATGATCAGAGAGCCGCAGCCTCAGCCACAGCCGCAACAACAGCACCAACATCAGCAGCAACAGCAGCAACAACAGCAGCAACAGCAGTTGATTGAGGTACAACAACAGCAACAGTTGGCAGCATTGGCGGTGAGAGATGAGCAGGAGTTGTTAAGAAACTGGGAACTACAACAGCAGCAACAGCAACAGCAACAACAACAACAGTTTATGAGGTATACTGGTGGCGGTGGTGGGTACGAGGGAGCACTGGTTATTGCTGGTGGTAGCGGAGGAGGAGGGTTCAATCAGGCGGGGCCTTCATCGGGTGCTGTATCACCGTCTTTGGCTCTTGGGGCTGCCACATTCGATCCAAACCCGTATGCTCAGATTCAACAACAGCAGCCACCACCACAGCAGCAACCGCCGCAAGATGATCAGTCATTAGGGCAGCTGTTACTCCTTCAGCAGCCAGTAACACCACAACAACCGCAACAGGAACATTTAGAATTGGGTCAAGGAATTTCTCATCATGAACAACTTCCTCAACAACATTTACACCCTCTTCTTCAATCTCAACATCATCATTTTCATCAGCAACCCATTGAACATAATCCGCAGCAACAACAACAACACCAACAACAACCGCAACAGCCCGGAATCGATGAAGGTGGTGGTAGGACTCTTGGTCCAACTTTGTAGAGGAAAAGAATGCACATTCTGGAGCTCATTAGTTTGATTTTAGTACTTGCTAGCTATAACAAGCTCATCTGATCTCTTGAACAAAATTCAGTCCCTAGGTAACTTCTAACTCCATTCCCTTTATTTCTCTCTCCTCTTTCTTGTACAGTAATATTATTGAATTTGCAGATTTGTATGTTTTCTTGCTGTTATTGATTGATGGATATATTTTATTTGGTGAATACGAGATGTAAAAAAATGCATGGCGTGTGTTTTGAGAAATGGAACAAAATGTAGTTTTGAGGGTTTTCATGACAGAGATAACTCATGGTACCACTGTGTCTCTTTCTGAAATTATTTTGGGTTCAGGGAATTGTCACATTCAACATTTAATTAAATTTCAATACTATATGTATCATGTATGTATCAATATAATGTATGTTCTTCCTTTCAGTTTCAGAGTGTTTTATCACTTTGTTGGGTTGTTCTATTTTTGCAATTTTAGTATCAAAAGCTCACCTACTAGTATGTTAGGGTGTCACCATTAGTACTACAGTGATGTTTTACTAAAAGAGTAATTTGAGAATTTGATTATTCAGGAGAATCTTTCTTGCAATTTTTAGTTTTGACATTACTAAAAGCTAAAAGATTTTGTGACATAATGTTTAGTGATACATGATCCCATTGATTGCAACTACTTACTACGAAGTACTATATACTCGTAAGGGTCCAACTCTTTCCTCATAAAATGTTAATTAAGGTTGTTAATTGTTGACGATTAGGCTATAAGTGTGTGCGTGTGTGTGTACGTGTGCGTATAATTGTATATGCACTCTTGCATTATTAGTACATGTCTAATAGTTTGCCAATAATTGTTACTTTTGAGAATTGTCAATTGCAATTATCGTGCAAATTGTTTGAGGTTTGTGTCAAACTCATGCTGTAAGATCAAGATGAAATTGTTCTTATTTCCCTTTCTGACATTTTCATTAATCTCTCTTTCTTGTAATTGTAATATTTTATTTCTAAGTTTCACTATCTCCTTGTATTGTGTGTTGTCAGTATTATTTTACTACATAATTAAGTAATAATGCCCATATTTAAACCTAAATGTCAAAACTTGGTACATATAATATAGAGCCCTCTCTTTCTTTTAAAAACATGATGTTAAATGTCTTGTCTAACATGATTCCCTTTTAATTATATGAAGTATTTTATTTTTTAAAATTAATATTGTGGATATAAAAGGGCAAAATGGGTATTTTTTTTTACTAAGCAAAAGGGTTTCCAGAAGAAAAAAGGTTAATACCTGTCCATAAATTAGTCTTTATATGTGTGCAAATTAGAAAAAAGAAGTCAAACATGAATTACTGCTATGATGCATGTTATTGGATCATAAGTGGAGTGATGAAGCTTATATTTTTCATTAATAAGTTAAATTAAACCACTTTTGGAATATTAAAAACATATCTAATGCTGTAGTTGCCTAGAATTTGGAGAAGAACTTGACATGGTTTTTGGAAGTGGGATGAAAAGGAGACAAACAGTGTGAAAAAATTGCATGATATTGTAATCAGTTTTATTATTGGGATCTTTCATTTCTCCTTTTTGTCTTTTGTTTTTTTTTATGATTGACTTTCTTTTTGTTGTTCAGAAACTGCTACTTGATCTGCACCCAAAAAGTTTAAAATATTTGTGTCAATTGATTTTATATTCATAGATTAAGGGGATATCATTTTGTCTTTTTAATATACAATAATCTTTGATTAAGAGGCTCTAATCCTGAGTTAATGTTGCTTTTTTCGAACTCTACAGTAGTTTGACTCAGATCACAAGTTATTTAGCTTATTTTTTAAGCCTATTAATGCTTGTTTATGTTAATACTTAGTGCTAATTGTTTTGCTTTTGTGGTTGCAGCTCAGTTGATGCATGATTAGATGCAGTATTATAATACACAAGGAAGAGTTGACCAATGACAGTAGAAACAGAGGTGAAGCAGGAGTTCTTAGACATTAAACATCTGATTTCTAATTACCATAATATTTTTGTAAGTCCATAGAATTTTTTTTTCTTATATTTTTTTTAGTCTTTTTTTTTTTTTAAAAAAAAAAATTTCCGGGCGGATTGGAGGGTGGTAAGAAGAGAGCATAGAAATTGAGGTATATTCAAGAAATGTAGGTTGGCATATGGATAAAATTTTGTTCCCATTTACTATAAATATTGAGTACAGTTCTTTCTTTCCTTCTTTCTCTGTTGAAACTAAATAGTTTTCAGCTCAATCTTATGGCTAGGAAACGATACAGTCTGTTCTATGTTATGGCAGCCATCTAATTGTCTAAATTTACTTTTTATTAAATGTCATTAGTGGTCATGATCATCTTATAAGTTTTACTTTATTTATGCACATGATGCAGTTGTACGATAAATATTAGTTGATGACTATTAGTAACAAGGTTTAATCCACGGAGATATCCCGTCTAATGAATGTATCTTACGTACCAAGTAACATATACGGATTATTACTAGCTTTGTATAATCCAATCGAGCTACTTCGTGTATGTAATGTATGGAAGTATATTTTGTAATGTCAATTGCATATGCAGGCCCGTAGAAGGCCATGTGCAAGGTGCCCCTTAGCACAGGGCCCCAATTTAAGGGGCCCAATTTTTTTTCCAATCATTAATTTTTAAAAAAAAAATAAAAAAAATATTGTTTTTATCACCAGAAGACAGCAAAGAGGAAGGAGAAGCAACACTACAACATTCACGCATTCAACTTTCCCAATTCCCATAATCCCATTCAATCAATTCAGCCTTCCATATTAATTTCTCCATGTTTCCAAATTCCTCCCTAATTACATCAATCATGGAAAATTGTATTGCACATTTTCCCAGAATTTCAACGGAAAAAAAAAAAAAAACTCAGTCAAGAAATCAATTTCAATCTTCCGAATTTCCTGTTATCAAACGGTAATTATTTTCCCATATATATGGGTTATCTTCCATTCAATCATCTTCATCTATCTATTCCCAATTGATACAATTATACTTTATACAAAATCAAAAACGAATTGAAGGGTTGAAGCAAATTTTTTTTTTTTCTTTTTAAGGGGAACGAATTGAAGCAATTGAAGCAATCGATTTTAGGTAAATTTTTTATTTTTGTTTTTAATTATTTCCGGGTTTGATAATTTCAATTGAAGCAATTTTTATTTCATTTTTTTTTATTTTTCGGCCCTGCTTTGAAGTTTGAATGCTTCGTGAGTTCGTGTCTTCTGGACTTCTGGTAAATTTTTTATTTTTGTTTTTAATTAATTCTGGGTTTGATAATTTCAATTGATGAATTGAAGCAATTTTTATTTCATTTTTTTTTTTTCGGCCCTGCTCGTGTTGCAACAGAGACATTAATTTTTGATTTTGGCTAATAATATCTGGAAAAGTGGAAATTCTAGACTATTGCACGCTATTAATCTAATTAGCTGTATCGTACAATTAATCTAACATCCTACAAATACATACCGTGGTCAGTGGTTCAGTGGTTGTTTAGATGAATGGCATTCAAAACAGAACCAATGCACAGCTAATCAATCATAAAACAAATTCAATCAATAATTATATACGAATGAATGAATGAATGAATTAAAATTATACAATCATCTTACATCAAAATCAAAGGAATGGATGCTCTAAGATTCGTAATCATATATAGCAGATTTGATTGATATACAACAGATGGGAGACTAGTTCTGTATCTAACAATTTTATTTTTTGAAGGTCCAAATTGGTCCTATTCTTTTGAACAAAGATTGAGAATCAACGTTATCGAGTAATTCGCCAGTTATGTGAAAGCATTTTTATTTTGCAATGTATATATAGGAAAATTGTGCATTGCCAAAATTATAGATTAAAAAAAAATGTATAATTTTAACATTATTAAGGCCCCTTTTTCGATTTGGAACAGAGCCCCTAAAATCAATGCTACGGCCTGTACATATGAATAGAATATCAAATAATATACCCTTCATAGCAATTATTGTTAAATTGAGAAAATTATTGCAATTTACCTTTTACAAGTAACAATTTAGGGGGTGCACCCTACAACCCTAATGTCAGATTTCCTATAAAAACTACATGGTTTTAACTATTTTCAGTAAAACCTTGATGAAAAATCAAACAAAAGGACCACGTACTGGTTGGTTAAATGGCCACCAAACAATGAAAAGTTTAATACAGTTGACTGCGCAGTGCATAAAAATAGTGGATTTAGATCACTTTAGTAAGTTTGTGGTAAGTTTGACTAATCAAGATAGTACCATATATTATTTCAAGTGTTTGGTGATCGTATATTGTAAATTTCGAAAATCTATCTTTTAACAACACCGTCAAGATCAGAGTTCTTGTGATTAAGTTGTGAGGTGAGAGAGATCTTAAGTTTAGTATTGTCAAACATAATTATTTGCGTAGTACCTACAAACTCATCACATCCTCGGATCCTCCTAAATAGCTAATAAAACCCCTATTCAATTCACCCTCACTTTAATATTTGAAGATTTTTCGAGATAAAAGGTAAGACTGCATTGTTTTTGTTACTAAATAATGGATGGTAATAATTAAAAATTGTACAGTGGTTGTTTGAAGTATAACTACCATAATATTTTAATAATTATATTGTTTATATTTGACGTATTTTTTCTCCAAGTAATTAATTATATTACTTTATTTTTGCTATAAAATACTGAGTATTATTATAGGTAGGATTATCATTGTAGATTTGTGACCTTCCTAATTAACAACGGAGCTAGTACTACAATGCTTAATTGATGATGTAGGGTGCACCTTTGTGCAGGCAAAGCACATTGATGTTCATGTGCGTTATACACATAGATAAAATATAACTAGACTATGCAAATTACACTTTAAATAATTACGTAAAACTTAGAAGTAAGTATTTGATTAAATTACACTTTAAATAATTACGTAAAACTTAGAAGTAAGTATTTGATTAATAATTTCCTAAGAGTTGTAATGGACAGCTACTAAACTAGGCAGCTAGCTAGCTAGCTAACTTCACAGTTACTACTAATGCTAAATTTTAAATATTTTTATTAATTTCTTGGAAGAACGTTAGATTCATTTGCACGTGGGTTATTTCTACTAGGTTGAAAGACATACCAGACCTTTTCATTTTTTATATTATTTTTTTCCCTTCATTATTCGGTGGTCAAAGTAACTAGTTAAGGCAGCTGCTAAATTCTTACTTTAGTCAATATTTTCTCATCTATCTTACTTTGAAAATCTCTCAGTTGCACAACTTACCTACTACGAGTAGTATTTTTGTACTATTATTTTACATAATTGAACGTTGGTATAATGCAAATATATCTTAGTATGTACACCCAAATGTATGATACGTAAATAGCTAAAAACGTGATAAAATTGTCAATGAAGTGATGTACGTGGTTCCTTGCATTTAAACAAATTATATCTCAATCAACCCCTCAAAGCTGTCCGTTTTTTAATTCGAAGAGTCAACAAAAGACTCATGTCAGACAAACCAACCCCCCAAAAAAGATAAGAAACTAAGGTAAGAGAGGTTAAATTATGGGAGCTAAAGGAAGAGGAAAAACAAACTTACAGAAAGATATGTTTGTGATTTATATTCAATAATATGTAGACAACTACTTGACGACAATAAGAAGGGAAATAATAGAGTCCATCTTTTTATGTTATTGCTTGAATTTGACATATAGTTTTGTCACATTTGAAATAACGTGTTACCAAGTATATCATTTTTAAGAAGGATGTAAATGTCTGTTAGCAAATCTTAGCATTATAAGTTTATAACCATCAATCACCAAAGTTTATCTCTTGTTATTGTTTTGCACTCATTAGTTGCAAAAACTATCAATATACGTTAGTCACCCGGGTGTATCAAAGGAGGCTACACCAAAGATGGTGTGTACGTTCACTATACATGTTTATTTGGCTATGACTCTATGAAGAGTGAGGTATATATGTAAATGCACTAACTTGAAACGTGCAGCTACGTACCATCAAGCAATGAATATGTGTTAAAGGGCCAACTCAACCAAAAGTTGTACAGGTCCTCTCATGTCTGGCGCAAATTAATTCCACTTTGAAAGAGGGGTGGATGAGATTTGAATCCATGACCTTTGTGTCACGCTGGCTTCGATACCATGTTAAAGGACAACTCAACCAAAAGCTTAAGCTGATGGTTGAGGCCCAAGAATATGTTTTATTCACTATCAATATGGTCATATGGATGTAGTAGATACATAAAATTAAAGATAGTTGAGATTCAAGGCTTGAACATTACATGTACATCGTTGTATTTACTCTATAAAAGATACAAGATTCAAGGCTAGAGAACATTTTGCGCAATTTCAAAAGTTCTTCTGCTTCCAGGAGAAATTCTCTCGTGTGGGTGTAATGCATAAGTCCAGTTTAACAACTAAACATGCAACTTATGTAAGCTACATGTTGCTTTCACAAAGATTTAAGTTAGCTTTATGCCCCATTTTAAGTAAATTTCATGATTAATTAAAGGGTTAGGTAACTTTGCTGATGCTTTATCAAGATTTTTCCCTCCTCTTTGTCCTTGACTTTAGTTATAAGCTTGGCCCCAGGTTTATTATGATTAAACGCTAAATTGACTTTTTTTTTAAATAAAATAAATAAATAAGAGCAAATAAAAAATCAAAAGGCAATTGTCTTCGCTATCAAAAACGTATCATATCGCCACATAGCACGTATGAGTTTCAAATAATTCTAAAGTGGACTTGGAAGAATGAAAATGGAGGACAAGAATGTGAGACAAATCCAGAGTACAATGAGCTGCAATTTCACCTGTTATGTTTTAGCTTATGTTATGTTTATTCTATTTGTATTAGTTCCAGTATATTCTTACACGAAAATTTTAAAATTGAACGACATTTTGCCAGTCTTTCCCATGTTCAATTAATTAGTAGCAACATAATTGATGGATGATAGAAATGTCTGCCAATTAAATTTTCTGGGTGGAATGGTATTCCATGTTCGGATAGGTATACATTAATTTGGTCAGGTTTGAAAATTCGAGTATGAAAAATTGTTGAATTTCTCTTTATATTATTAGTCACATTTTTTTTTACAGGATTTCCTTAAAAAAAAAAAAAAAAATTGAAGGCAAGGAAGAATAAATATTACCTTCGATTTTTTTAGTTGCAATTTTGAAATATTTTATATCTCACAAATGATACCCGAAGTTGCAACTAAAAAAAATCAGAGGTAGTATTAAGATACCCTTCTCTCGAGCATATACAGTCAACACGGAGTAACCGATAGACTAATATTTTAATCCGTCGAACGTCATCAAGAAATACGGACTTACGGAGTGCAAGGCTGTAAGCTTCATAAAGTAAATATTATAGATCTATTCAAAAAAAAAAAAAAAAAAGTAAATATTATAGACCTATCGAAAGAAACCTATACTTGAGCCAGTCGGTCCAAGGATCTTTCTAGAGTAAACAAAGGAAAAATTCAACTGTATTTACAACAGATTATAAGTTCTTGTAGCATGTCTACAGTTAAACTAATCTGAATCAGAGGTTACATCAGAGTATGGATCCAGATTCCTGACCATGTTTGATAATGTCTCTCCCATATCTTCAAGTTCCTCCTTTCCAAAACCCCAACTATTCATTAATTCTCCTCCGATAGCACCATATTGAATACCAAATTTCCGAAGGTTTTCCAGCCTGCTGGACAAGAAAGGTAATACAGCACTGCTAGAGCGCAGTCTTGCAGCCATAGGGATAGAATGGACATCGAGTGGTCCCTTTGAAGATGAATTTGGACTAGGATTGCTAAGCAGTTGTCCACTGCAACCAACATTTTCCGAGAATATAGATGGAAATGGTAATGGTATCGGGAGAGGGCAAGTTACAGCAGATAGATTACAGAATCTAGGCCTCAAAGATGCCTGTTCATAAGCAGCAGAAATAGCTTGTTGGACTTCAGACAGTGATGCTCGTTGCTCACCTGAGTCCGAAAAAATATTTCATATTAGATGAAGTGGCAGCACAACTACTACAATGTCTACCAACCCCCCAGTTCCCCAGAAGGACCTTAGAACCCTACACATACAGCCTACGAAGTAGTAGAAACACTATACACATTCAAGTGGAAAGATACATAGACTCAACAGAAGTATTAATTGGATGAAGAAGAAATGCTATCTGAGGCTAGGGATGATGTGGCTACAAGCATAAGATATCAACAGAAAAGCAAATCATCCCTAACTATCGAATTCCTAAATGAATAGAAGCACAGAATCCTTCCTTTCTAACTTTCAAGCATTAAAATCTGTTAATTCAAGGAGATGTAAGACCTAATAATGACATGAGGAGCTGAGGTTGAAAGTAACACATTGCACTTAGGACAAGCCAGGTAAAATCCTTAGTTTAAGGCGATGTAAATAATGGGCAACAACTATTATCTGTGGATGTAGTGAGTATCAACATACGGAGTAGTTAGTTTACACCATAAAACAGGCATATGCAGATATAGAGTACCTGATTTAAGAGCTCCATGTATCACCAATGTTTCTACAGAATGCACGTCTTCCATATTTTCCGATGTTTCTGGAGTCAATGACTGCAACTTACTCAATAATTGTTCCTGAGCAGGTTCCCCTGAGTCTCACATCAAAAAGGGGGGAGAGCACCATGAGAAGACATATTTTATAAGACACTGAGCCAGGGCAATTGAATTAGAAAATACCAATAGCAGGTGCAGGCATGGTAGCATCTAATGTAGCAACCATATTCTGTCGGAGGTGGCCAGATAGCATCTGTGCAATGCTATTGATATCCAAAGCACCAAGAGAAGATCCAGAAGTTGCAGCAGGCGCAAGCGTGTCCATGCGAAAGGGCAGGCTGAGAGTGTGAAGAGCAGCAGCATAGATTGAACTGCTATGGAAAGGCTTTTTATCATTCACATGCAGATTTGTTGAAACTTTGCCTGCAAAAAAAGGATTTTAGAAACAAAAGGAGACCTTAACCATATAAGCTACAATCAGCCCAAATGCAACAATTTTTATAAGCCAGAAAGTATCAAAACTTACTTCCACTCAAAGAAGGTAAACCAACGGGTACAATTAGTTTGCAGAAAGGAGATAGTTTTGCAAAAGAAATTGCATCATGAAGGTCCCGAGAAATGTTCCTTTTTCGACTTCTAGAGCTCATTGATGAACCAGGATCGCGAACAGTATAAAGTAACACTGGAGTATTGGTGAATTCATCAGCAATGTTCTGCAGAAAGTCTACTGCCACACTGGAAAAGCCCCCCGAATCATCCACCACACATTGTATTCCCTGTCAGCAAGTTTCTGACTAAGTAAAGAAAGGTTTTTACAAAAATACAATTTTACAGAAGTTCCTTTAAGCAACAATATAAAGCAGATAATTTGTCATTAATTTTCTGAAGCTAGACCATCTAAAAACCATACTCCGTGATAAAATGGCATTGTTGGAGACCAGAGGTTAGTTACTCATAACATTTAGTCAACACAAAACTCCATAAAGTTAAATCCATTAATTTGACTCCACAAAACAAATAATATGAATGGGTGACATTGGATTTATGTCTCATGAACAGAGCAAATTTAAAGCATAAAACCTTATCATTCAGCCCTCAGGAAGTGAGAAGATTTAAAATAAAATAAAATAAAATAAAAAAACTAGCCAGAAACACTTGGATCAAGAATTCAAGATAATGGAGAACCAAAAACAAAGCTTGGTATGGCATAGACATGAACAAAACCACTTTTTTTTGTTGAAGGTAGAGACTTTTTTGTCATATGCTTTTAGATAGTAAGAAACCCACTGAGGAATCAGGGGGTGAAACTTATGGAGGTGAAAAAAAAAAACCCTGGGTCATGTCTTGGATTCATGAAGTGTATAATCCATCAAGACTAGCCCACCAGCTCAAAACAAGCACCAGAATAGGCTAAAAATACATGCACTCTTAGAGATAATTATGAAGTTTGCTAGATACCTGTACATGATCACACTCTTCTATGAAGAAACGGAGTCTTTCGGTCATCTCTTCTCCCCGAAAACTTTCAGAAAAAACATCCTTTCCCATACCATAATTATCAAATCCCTCAACATCCATCCACAACCCATTTATTTCATATAGACTCTGTGGATGATAATGGGCTTTTGAGAAGTCAGTCCAGAACTGTACATCATTTTCCAAAGATTCCACTATATCCTTGTCTCCAATATCATCTGGCAAATCAGCATTTCTGTTGTCTTTACCAATTTTTTGCTTCTGCTCTTCCTCGTACAAACTTTGCAGGAATAAGTTTCTCTTGTGAGACTCAGAACGTTGGGTGGATACACTGCCTTTCCTGAAAGTCAAACTCAAAACCTTAGTTTAAATACCAACATCATAGAAAATATTTGAGATATAAGTAAATCATATCTGAAGAGTACTTGTAGTTGCTCAACATCAATAATGCGATGACATTTTGACCATTTCATATTAAGAGAAACATTAGATTTTCATAGGGGAAAAATTAATGTTATTTCATAGGAGTAGTATTATGCAACATGTCACTCATATCAGAAATCATATTGATATTGGAAAACTTGAAGATGCATTCTTCATGATCACAGCTTTACTATTTCACTAAGTATGACTATAGTTATGCCAGACAGCCTCACAGCTCACTGGCATATGAGGTTGCCTGCAACTCTGCTATGGGCTATTTGATTCTAGATTATTGAGGAATAAATGCAAATAATGAACTAATGAAGAATAGTGTACACTATTGTCCCACTTAAAAATATTAAGCAGCACTTCCTTTTCTTTGGAGATGACAAAATTATTAAATCATCCTTTTGCAATCCCAAATTCAGCAGTCATTTTAGTTTTCTATTTAACAGAGATTGACTGCTAAATTTCTGTGTTTGCGCTTTCATTCTCCAGAATGATATTTTCAAACCATTAAAGCCAGAAGGCAATTTTTTTATGGGGAGCATGCAATGCATTTTATCACACAGGTCTCATAAAGCCTCACCAGGTGGCCACAGGGGAAGGTGATTCTGAAGTCTGATTATACAATGTACCATGGGAGCTCATTGATCCAAGGGATCCTGGTTAGATCACAAAAGGGAAATGTCAGATATCCAAGATGCTTATGCTAGAAGAAAAAATGTCCAAATGATCCCAAATAGGTAACCAAACACAAAACAACTATAATAAGAGAGCAAGATCGGTATTATGAGCTTATGCTGTTACCTATCAGATCAGAACTCAAGCAAGTAAGAAATCCCAAAACATTAGACAAAATGCATTCCCGCATACAATCATATGTTTACATAAATACCTACACAAATACATATGTACTTACAAGTATACACGCACAAATACATACATAAATGGAGTGATAACACTAATAACTGTAGTTTGATGAGCCACAATGGGGCAATTACAGACATAAGGGTAACCGTATTAGCTGATGATACCAAGGTTGCTCTAAGAATAGTTTTGTATGACGACTTATACACAAGCACCAGAACTATAAGGCCAAGTCACATGGGAAATGACTGGTGATTTCCAGTCCAGACTTCATAAAAATCTATTATTCCATATATATATGTAAGCAATACAAGTTGGCATCAGCAGCAATCATACAAAAATCGGACTAATAATCCATTAAACAGACTTCAGTCAAAACCATGGGTTAAAAAAATACATTTCCACGAAAAACAAAAGCAAGAAAGAACAGGTGCATATACGCTGGAAAAAACATCATACCTTGATAATTAACAGAAACTAATCGAGGGGTATAGGTAAGAACACCCTGCAGACACAAATAGACAATTATTTGCATTTCTCTCAGATCTTCCGCCCCAAAAGCAAGAGAAATCAGCAGGCTGAGGGTGTTGCAGAAGATAGTGGGGAGCATAATACGCACACTAGAATACTAGAAAGTGAATAAGTTCCCTCATTACAGTAAAAAACTAACTATTTCAAAGTCAACTTGCCTCACACTCTTAGTCAAGATTATTAATCCATCTGAGCTATTAGTCTCAGAAAAGTGTTAACTCAATAAATGCTCATATATTCTTTAATTAATTTATATCTGTCTTCCACTCAGATAATATCAGCATTCGAAAATTGTCTAAGGGCTTATACACAAGTTTTAGAAACTAGATAGTGAGACAGTGACAGCCAGATATATCAGATTATTATTTATTAGCACTTGATCACGAGCGATTTCTAAAAGATAACAATCCAGCTATCAAATTTTACAGAGGTAGAAAGCTACAATGGCATTACACACAAAATGGTAGTTTCAAAGCCAGATAAGTATAACAGTTGTATCACAGTCAGCACAATAGCACATGATACTGCTTCTCAAGTAGATTAAGGAAGAATTATAATTTAATATTACAAGCACATCCATAAGCTAGATGGTTGATCAATATTACTCTTTGATACAGATACACAAGGTCACCGAATAGATAGATCATACAAGGTGGCTTGTGGAAGAATTTTTAAGCTCTAATGCCTTCTTTAAAATTAGAAAAACATGCCAAAATTAAAGAAACCCAGCCAGCAACAAATCTTACCTCATGAGTCTCTCCAGAGCGATAAAGCACATCCATGTTAACTCCAGGATTTTTAAACACTGGATCAGCATCAGGGTCACCAGCCAAACCAAGCAGCTCATCCTTCAATAGAGGAATTAAGTCAAATTTAATTTTTTAACTCCATTCTCATTCATTGAGTTTGGAAAAAAAAAAAAAATAGATTTTATCATTAGCTATACTCAAATCAAATCAATATCATTACAAATAAATAATCGAAGGGAAAAAACATACATTGAAGAATGAAGGTGTCACCCGATGATAGGAAATAAGATAGAAAATGTTCACATATCTTCTTATTTACCATGTAATTCAGAGAGAATGAATTGAAAACCCACTTGCAAACATGAAATAGCCAATAAAGCATTAAGAAGACTTGCATTCTAATATAGCTCTAGGATCAAACAAGCTCATCTCATATTCTCATGTAATGATTTGATGAAACCTCGTTACTTTCGAAGTCTAACAGTAATGGCAATTTTATGTTTGAGTGTTTTAAAGACTTCATTTAATAATATTACAAGTACAACAATAAACACATATAGCGCAAGAACAACCTCTGGGATAAACAATACTCCATAGAATCGACTATTGACATATAAATTGTATTTCACTGAGTAATTTAGCACTTAAAACCCCCAAATCATAATTTCACTAACATGTAAAATCCCGATTCTCGACAAAATAAAATAAAATGATATTGACAGAAAGATGTACCTGGAAGTTCCAGAAATGAGAGCCTATGAAATTGGCAAAACCTCCAATTTGAAGTGTAACAACTTCCCTCATGTTGCCTGCTAAACCACAATACCAGTAAACCCAGATGCACAATTAATCGCCCAATTAAATAATTAACCAAAATAAAATTGAACAGCTAATGTTGATGCTGCAGCTAGTAAAGTGCAGTATAAGGATATTGAATTCCATATTTAGGAAATGCGCATAAGGTGTTCGATAAAATGCCAATGTGAATTTCTGCATACCTAACAGAATTACAACTTTACATAAACCCTAGTAGCTAAATAACAACCGAAATCTGAAAGAAATCAAACAACATTTAGAGGATTTAGGTTGGGTGGAATTATAGAGCATAATACTTACCTTGTAGTTTGAAGAATAGTAAGCAGAATATTCAAGAATCAACAGATTAAGCAAACTTTTGCAGCAGATTGAAGAAGATGACAGAGAGGAGTAGAAATGTAGAATAGCGTGGGAATTTGGTTGTGATGACTGTAAAGAAGATGAAGTTTGCAGGTGCTCCGTAGCTTGAATTTGTTGCACGATTAAGCTCAAGTCAGAGCTTTTTACAAATACGTAGTATAAACAGTTTACTTAGGGCTATGCTAAAGTGTACAACCGCCAAAACGGGATCATTTAGAGATAATTGTATCGTCTTAAATTATCAATTTCGTTCATTCGTTATCGACCCTTGACGTGTTACATAGTACGAATAGCCAGAGCTGTCAAAAACCGACCCGAACCATTTTGAACTGTTCCGAAAAGAAGCCAAACCGCTAAGAACCTGTTATTTTAAAATCGTAAATCGACCCGACCGGATTTTTAAAAAGCTGAAACTGAACCGATCCGAGTGTTTGAGAACCGTTAACGAACCGCACCCGATATCAAGTCGTACCGAGAACAACCCAAAACTGAGAACAACCCGAACCGAGTACTTTTGAACTCGATAGCAACCCAACCCATTATAAACCGAAACCGTTTAAACCCAACAAAAACCCGATAAACCCAAATCGTTTGCAACCTGTAACTGGTTAGGATTTAACCGTTTATAACCCGTGATAAGTTATGAACGAACTGTTTACAAACCGTAATCGGTTATAGCCGAATCATTTTTAATCCGTAAGTCCGTAACCTGTTATGATCGTAGATTTTTTTTCTCTTTTTTGGTATATTTTATCAATAGTAAAACAAAAGGGTTTAATTTGAATTATAAAGTATTTATATTGAAAAGGTTTGAAATTTTGATGTCATTAAAACTCTTATGCTACAACATTATCGTCCTCTAACGAGTAATGGCCTATGGAACACTATACTGTATTAAAAAAAATTAAAAATCTAAATCAAAAGCTAGCTCTAGATTTGTTAGTATTATTTGATCCTTAAAATCATTATACAAAAACGGACGTAAAGTTAAACAACTAATTAATACTGCGTATGATCTACTGAATAACTAATTAAAGAATATTGAGGATATAATAGACGATATACGTTAACGAAATTCGTTTAAAACTGGCAAAACTAGTTGTCAAACCGACTAAGTTCAACTTGAACCGATTACAACCCGACCCGATTAGGACCCGATATGTGTTGATTCAAAATCCGCTTTAAACTGACAAACCCCATTTTTAAACCGACCGAAATTAACCCGAACCGATTATGACCCGAACCAATTATAACCCGACCCGATTAGAATCCGACCCGAAAAAAACTGTAATTAAAATAAACCAAACCGAATCGACCCGAAATTATTTAAAACCAACCCGAACTGACCCGTTAATAATTCCAACCCGTTAAAAACCGACCCGTTACAAACCGAAAACCGATAAACCGAACCCAAAACTGAACTGAAAACCCGATTGACACCCCTACGAATAGCTGAAGTAGTACGATGACAAAAGTAAAAATCGAAATTGATAGAAGTATTACATACTGTATTATTTTTTATTGTCTCAAAATAATTGACACTTTTAAGAAAATCTATCCAAAATTAAAGGGAAAAAAACTCATTACCTCCCTTATTATATACTTCCTCCGTTCTATTAATATTGCAACAATGGACTTTTTGCACTATTCATCACTCTTGTTTGACCATATAATATGAGTTATACGTTAAGCAAAATATAGTCAAGTGAGATCTTGTTGGATTCGTCTCATTTAATACTTTCACAATATCAACTTTTTATAATTTTTACTCATATACAATTATAGATATTTAGCATATAAAATGTGTTTTGGGATGCGTAATTTCCTCCTTGTTGCAATATTAACAGAACGGAGGAAGTATAAGCACAAATGCACTATGTATTTCATTGACACTTGGTTTTAGATTGATGAAGAATAGATAAGTGTTTGGGCCTAGTCCATTGTCCTAAGCCTACTGACCTGGAATTACGAAAATACCCCTCCATGATCCAGCCCATCATTAGTCAGAGCAAAGTACGAATTTACCCCTAATCTGTCCAATTAAGTACAACTTCTGCCACCTGAAAGTACATCTATAAATAGCTCTCCAATCATTGATGATGGTAACTTTTTCCTAATTCTCTAATCATCTCTCTCTACTTTCTCTTTCTAAAGTACTCTTTCTCTCTCTAGAAAATACATTCGCTGACTTAAGCATCGGATGGGCTTTCCCGGGTCACACCCCCGGGGCAGTTAACTTTCTTTCTCTTTTGCAGGCCTAGCTCTCGGACAACAAGGCATAGCTGAGGGAAATTCGGACATTCATTGGACATAGCTCTAGGACATCTTGATCACCCTTACTACCCTAAGACTCCCAGGAGCATTCTGTTTCCAGAAACAATAAGCACTTTAATTAACAATGTTGATGTATCGATACTCTCATCCTGCTCTATATAATTATCCAAATGAGCTCAGGAAGTAATTATGATTAATGTTTCTTCATCTTCACATAATCACATTCACAAAGTTACAATTTATATTATTCTGTGCAGTACTTTGTATCAAACTAATGATTAAATTTATAAAACAAATGCAAACATATTCATAAATAACAATTTTACTATTTCAATGTACACTAATTTTTCAACTCTAACTCGGGGTTTCAATATTTTCAATCAACCATTGCTTGTATCAACAGGGTTCCTACCACTAGGTGTCTAGGCTAGTAGAAGAATGCTAAACCTATACTTGATGTATTCTTTTTTAGTTGATTTCCAAAAATAGTCTTTAAAAATTTCATTCCTCATAAATAAAATATGGTCTAGTATAATTTCATTTATAAAACTCATTTTCTAGCCTAGTCTTCAAAAACACGAACCCAAATATGCAAGTCGTCCCACTAATAGTTATCTTGATTATTTTATTTGATTTTGTCTCATTTAAAATACGTAGTATTAATATTCCACTGCGCATAGGGAGCATAGTACAAGTCATAAGTCAGCAAGTCACTCATAACTCCACCTCTAGTACACCGTATGTAGGAAGCTGAAATATTCATCCTCCTCCAGAGTCCAGATCAGATCATAATAGATTGTTCCATTAATTACAAACTCTTGAAGATCTATTTCGTCATTCACTTTAACACCATGAAAACAACAAGACAATAAGATGCATGAATGGGTCCTGTTTTTTTTTTTTATACCCGTAGAATTATTAATCATAGACAGCAAATATCTTCAAAATAGCCAAAACTCTCAAAGAATATATTACCCATTGAATTTCAGATCATTCTCAACCTTCCATATTTCTCCAACTGAATTATTACCACACACTATTGCTTCCTGAATAGACTATCCACTGTCTCCTCCTTAGTGCCACGCCAGGTACGCCACTGCACAGAATAGTTCCTCTACACTTTTACATCAACTCTCTAAGCTAATTACGTACGTACTACTTTGTTTTAAGATCTCTATCACGGGCAACTGTACTTCTGCATTATGCAGTTACAGTTTGGCTACAAATCGATTCCAAACATGTTCTACTCAATACTTTCTTTACAAATGTTGTTGCATTGTGTCAATCAAACAAAGAGAACAAAGAAATTGTGCACTATGAAATCTCCCCGGAACTAATTTTGTTCTCAGGGAGTCGAGGATGAAATCATAAAAGTGGGGTGATATTTCCTATAATGGCTGTAATATACCAGCAGAGATCAAAACCTGAGTGAATTTTGGTGACTGAAAAATAATCAATTACAAAAATGCAATTGCATATTTCGCTTGTACTAACATGAAGATAAGCACATCAGCATCTCAAGTAAATGTAAGGAAGGGGCAGAGGAGGCACAATGTTATTTTATAACTCAACATCAGTACAAACAATAGGGAAAAAGAGATATTCCTAAATCTCGCTGCAAAATTTGTTAGGGCCTCATCCCTCCTCACTAAAGCCCCGAATGAGGGAAAATGCCAAATGGAGAGCGTAGCAGTTCCCAGCATCTCCCTTTGTTACATTAAATAGTTTTCGATGCATGTCAAACCTCTGCATTCTACTATTCCAATACATTATACATACTATTATTATACCAAGTATACCCACCCTAGTTCCAAAGGTGTGTATGATTAGCACTCACCTATACATTAATGTATGTCAATTCTCTCATGATCTATATATGAGGCTAAACCTTTCAACTCTGGCCATCAGATTTCTCCTCTTCATCCTCTTCGAAACTAGAAGAGTTGCATTTCCTCGACTCCCCCAAGTGTAATGGGCCTTTTGGAGAACCTGAATGCTGGAGGTCCGTTGTCAAGCAGCCTAATTCAAGCTGATCTCCATAGTCCATTCCTAAGTCAGTTGTCAATTGATTGGTTTTGCTAGCAGCTGGAAGCTTTCGGACATGAAGCCTATATTTCTGCACATGAGCAAGCAGGCAATAAATTTAGCTACTGAGCCTAAGGATAAATAAAGGCTTCGTTTATAAACTCCTAATCATACAGTCATACAAGAGTATATCATCAGCTTGCCATATACATCTTAGAAGTAGTTCCGGTCCTCCATTGCATTATACAAGCAAAGAAGCAAACATTTTGAGATCTCTTGGAGAAAATCTAATGAACATCTACGAAAACCATTTTCTCACGCCTATCATTGCCCCTTGTCCTATACTAACCAAGTAAGTTTCAAGCTAGTGTACTACATACGGGAGTACCAAGTTGAACAACAACCTAGCAAGAATTTTACCAAACTCAAAAACCCGATTAGAAGCCACCAGAAAATAAGTTATCGACCACAAAACCAAGGTGCAACGAACCAGAATCTACCCAATACAACGGATCATCATATTACCAACATGTATGAATATGAACGTCCCTCATCTCTTGCATGTCACTAGTCACGCAATATGAATGCAAGATGAATTACACGAGAAAAGAACATAACAGTACAAAAGAATTTCACCTGTAAGTGGCTTTTAACTTCATCATTAGTGAGCCCATCCACTTTCATAAGCTCCTTTATCTGCTTAGGAGTAGCCACTGCAAACCAAACATGTAACACATGAACAACATATAATACTCTATCAAACACTAATTATGCATCATAAATTTAAATTATTGGTCCTATTATTTTTTTTGCATTACAAAAAACAATAAAATTTTTGTATCATAACAAATCAGCAAGTACTGCTATTACAAGTTTACAAGGTTTGCAACAAACGTTACCAACCTCTTTTTCACCCATATTACCAAATTAAAATAGCATGTCTAACAACACCATATTAGCCAATTATCAAAATATTATTCTTATACTACCTCAGGTATGTGAAACGATTAGACATTTGTGAATTTTTATCTCTGCTCTATATCAAATCGTTGCACATACCCTATAACATAGGTAGTACTTTGAATTATTCAAAGTATCATTAGGATTAAGATTAATGCTTTAATGTTGTTCTTGTCGTTGTATACTTTTGAATCACCAAACTAATTTTTGTTAAGATTACTAAAAATTGAAAATTCAATTAGAAGCACGTAACCTCACCTTGGGCCCCACCGAGGCTTTCGAGGGCATCTACAAATCGCCGATGAAGCTCCGGCGACCAACACCGACGTCTTTTTCTAGTAGTCTGATACGACGGTTTGATTGCTGGTTTGGCAAAAACTGAACCGGAAAATATTCCGCCGGTTCGAAGTTTAGCCGGACCGGGTTCAACCATTTCAAGAGAAGTGTTTAAACCGGGAGGTACCAACGAGAGTCCCGTGACATCTTCCCTAACTTTTTTTTCGAAAGACAAAACTGCCCCTTTCCCTTCATTTTTATGCGGCTCATAGTCGCCGCCTCCTACTGTTGTCTGTAATGGTTAAAGCTTATAATTACCTTTTTATCCTCAACAACTCCAAATTAATAAAAAATTAAAATTAAAAATAAAAATTACCGAACTCCATAGCTGAGCAGAGCTCATCCATGTCTTCTTCTCAAATTGTTTTTCCTCATTTTTCTTTGCAACCTCTTTCAATTTGCTAATTGCTGTAATTAACACATAATTAAACAATTATTAAAAATAAACTATAGGTTCAAATATTCGCATAACAAAAAATTATAACAGTCATAATAAAGAACATGAAGAAATAAATAAAGAAAACGAACCATCGTTTACGATAATGGAAGAGAGAGGGAGTTCACGGTGAAATGCCTGAATCTTCTTGAGCTCATCTTCGAGGCAGATAATAAAACCATTAAGCTTGGAAAGTTCACCCAAATCCGATATTCCGGCGACTAAAAATCGGGTTAAAACTTCAGGAGGATTTGGCAAGCTCAAACTCAATTGTGGAAAATTTGATGCCATAATTTGTCTGTTGATTTGATTAGATTTTAATTTGAATGTTAATTTATGAGTGAGAAAATAGGTTCACACTTACAGTTGGAAGATAAGCATGACAGAAAATGAGAGGAGAAAAATACAAGAATAACAACTTATTTATAGGGATATATACAGAATAATATTGGGAGGAAAACGAAAACGGTTCCTCGCGTAAAATAGAATCTTGAAATTTTATTTATTTATTTATTTGTAATTCCTTTTTGTTTGTCTTTTCACTTTTTAAAATCAAGGGTGTAAAATTAAAGAAAGGATATAGGGGAATCAGAAGTGATTTTATTTTTTTCAAAATAAAAATTATAAGGGCGTGTGTTTTATGGATAAGCATATAGTTAGAGTGGTACATCCGTAATTCACATGTTTGTCCTACCAAATTTATTATTTTTCCATTTGTCAATAATTATATAATAGATTTTTATTGTGTAGAACTTTCTTATGGCACCTAATAAGTCCAAAACTAATACTGTGCTATATGTATTGCCATTATCAAGTTACTCTCGATTTTAATTCATTGCAATAATAATTACTCCCATCGTTTTTAAATACTTGCTCCATTTCTTTATGCACGGAGTTTTAGGAGAAATTTGAGAAAATAATAAAATATGAAGGTAGTGAAGTATGTGGAAGAATATAAAATTGTAAAAAACAAAAGTAGTGGAGAGAATATGAAATTAATAAAATATTATTCATGTTAGGTCCACTAGTGAAATAAATGAATTAAATAATATAAAAGTTTTCTAAATAAAGAAATGGATCAAATAATTAAAAATGGCCGGAAAAGGAAAGTGAAGCAAGTATTTAAAAACGAAGGGAGTACTACGTATTACTCCGTATCATATACGACAATATGACATACTGTATGTATTAGGAGTTTCGAGAAATGTTTACATTTTAAGCTAAAAATAATCGTAATTATCCAACAGATGAATAAGCCCCCGATTGTTAGTCCGAAACCTTTAAAATTTCTCAAAAAGTGAGGATATTAGCCTTTAATTTTGGAATTTTTTGACTTTTTTTCACCCGAAAATAAAAAATTGCCGAAATGTTTACCATGGTCCCTAATATCCTCCGGGAGTCCAATTGGCTGAGTGGAACCGTCCAATTGGCTGAGTGGAACCATCCAATTTGCCTTTAAACAATCCATTTACCGGTTTACAACTTGCACCGATTTCATTAACTCGAGCCTACCACGAACATTTATGACAACAAATAATGATCATATATGGTTCCCAATGACATTATATGACCTCGAAATGTATTCCCTAAAATTTCAAAACTTTTCAACACCTGGCCCCGAAACCTCCAAAATTTCTCAAAAAGTGTGGATATTAGACTTCATTTTTGGAATTTTTTTCACTTTTTTTTGCCCAAAAATAAAAATTGCCGAAATGTTTACCAAGGTCCCTAATATCCTTCGGGAGTTCAATTAGGTGACGATTAGCATCGTTTTAATATCCTTCGGGAGTTCAATTAGGTGGGAGGAATGATGTGTCTATTTTATATAGTATCTTACCCCCGTTCCTTGGTCATAATTAGTAGTGTTTTTGGCTCTTTAGAGCCACTTTTATTACTAATTGGTGTTTTCTAGTGTTTTCGTAGATTTGGTTGACTTTTACAGGGAATTACACTTTTGGAGTATTTTCCCGAGATAATTTGGAGTAATCACGAGCACTGGAGAAATACGACCAGATTTTATAGCCCATGGCCGGTGTTTGGGGGTATTTTATGTCCTTCGGGAGAGTTACAATTTCCTAGCAGATCCTTCTTACGCCTGTACCTGCACAAGTAACGGAGACTCCGGATGGGGGTGGGAGTTCCGCCTCCGAAGATTAAGTTAGTATCTTTTCGAAGTGGAATAAGAACAATAAAAGCTTCTCGGTTCGAGAGCGTTTTAGTAGGTTTGGGCTTTGTTTGTTTTTTGTGGTTGCAATTAATGTGTGTCCTCTTCATAAATGAGGTCTACCCTTACTATTTATAGTAAGGGAGAACTGTACCTCAATTAGGGTATAAGGGACATGTGTCGCAAAGGGATTGGGCCTTTGCAGACCGTTGAAAGATTGACACGTGTCAAGCCTTTATTGGGCCACGTGTCTTAGGGTATTTTCACCCTAAACAGCCGGTTAGAGCCATCGAACCGGTGATTAAGGGCTCGGTAGAGGTGATACCGGGGCATTTGGACCGAGTATTAAAGACCGGAAGAGGATCAGAAACCCTGATTGGCCCGAAGAATTGGAGTCAATCGTAGTCCAAATAGTGGCCCAAGAGAGCCGCCCGGCCAAAGAGGCTGGCGCACGGAGGCGCGCCCGGCCGGGCGGGAGAAGCTAAGGTCGGCGCCCGGATACGCGCCCGGCCGGGCGCGAGATTTCACTTGAAGAACAAAAAGTCGCGCCCGGCCGGGCGCGAGATTTCACTTGAAGAACAAAAAGTCGCGCCCGAACGGGCGCGTGTATTTATTAGGAGACGATTAGCGTCGTTTTAATTTGTTTTAGTTTAGGATTTGTACGGAGTATAAATACTCCTCCGTAATACGATTTTAATCTCTGATTCTCTCTCTCTCTCTCTCTCTCTTTTACTCTCTTAATTGTTTTCGTAGATTTCTTTCTCTTAAACCTTTGTTCTTAATCTACTCTTAATTCCAAATTTATTTTGGTAACGATTTCTCTTCTCTTAATCTTAGTTGTTTATTTCATTCATTTTCTCATGTCTTGTTTAATTACTTTGTTTAGTTTAGTTTCTATTCTGTGTGAGTAGTTTCATTCTAGGGTTTATGGGGATCCATAATTAATATGAAGGGATAATTTGTTATTATTGATTATTGGTATTGCATGATAATTTCTTATTGAATTGTTTTAATTCTTTGCAATTAGATTATGAATCGAGCAGATGTAATTTGATTGTGAATGTTTAGCAATATTGAATTGATGAATCGAGCAGATGTTAATTTAATATTAAAGGCTATTTTTAATAAGAACTTAGATCTAGTAAATTGCGAGAGCCTGTTAGATCTATGTTGATTAATAAATTGCGAGAGCCTGTTAATAATGTTATTTGTGCAATGTTAATTATTAATTATTATGGTTTATCCCGGAATATTAATTATTGGTGAACCTGTGACCCTGGGCCTTCTTATTATTGTTTTTCTCCTTAAACTTATTCTTCGTAGTATATAATTTATTCCCAAAAATATTGGTTACTTAGATAATTTAGATTATAATAATCAATTAGGAGTAAAAAGACTTGTTTCCCTGTGGAGTTCGACCCTACTTCCCTATCTACTTTAGTTAGAGGACTTAGGTATTTACTTTTGATTAGAGGATACGACTTTACCCTGTCAAGGAACCGGCTAATTTGCCTTTAAACGACCAATTTACAACTTGCACTAATTTCATTAACTCAAGCATACCACGAACATTCATGACAACATATAATGATCACATGTGGTTCCAAATATCATTAATGTATCCCCTAAAATTTCAAGACTTTTCGACACCGGGCCTCAAAACCTTCAAAAATTCGCCCGGAAATAAAAATTGTCGTAATGTTTACAATGGTTTCTAATACCCTCCGGGAGTCCACCTGACTGGGTGCAACCATCCAATTTGCCTTTAAACAGCTGACTTTTACCGGTTTACAACTTGCATCGATTTCATTAACTCAAGCCTACAGCGAACATTTATGACAACAAAAAATTTTGAGAGTTCAAATAATGATCATATATGGTTCCAAACAACATTATATGACCCCGAAATGTATTCCTTAAAATTTCAATACTTTTCGACACTAGGCCCAGAAACATCCAAAATTTCTCAAAAAGCGTGGATATTAGACTTCAATTTTTGAATTTTATAACTTTTTTTCGCCCGAAAATAAAATTTGCCGTAATGTTTAAAATGGTTTCTAATACCCTCCGGGAGTTCAATTGGGTGGGTGAAACCATCCAATTTGCCTTTTGAACGGCCTATTTACCGGTTTACAACTTGCACCGATTTCATTAACTCAAGCTTACCACGATCATTTATGACAACATATAATGATCATATATGGTTCCAAACGGCATTATATGACTCCGAGATGTAATTCTAAAATTTCAAGGCTTTTCGACACCTGGCCTCGAAATCTCCAAAATTTCTCAACAAGCATAATCTTGCTTAAGCTTTTAACTTTGGAGTTTTTTGACTTTTTTTCGCCAGGAAATAAAAAATTGCCGAAATATTTAGCATGGTCCCTAATATCCTCCGAGAGGCCAATTGGATGGGTGGAACCATCCAATTTTCCTTTAAACGACCAATTTACCGGTTTACAACTTGTACCGATTTCATTAACTCAAGCCTACCACGAACATTTATGACAACATATAATGATCATATATGGTTCCAAACGGAATTATATGACCTCGAGATGTATTCCCTAAAATCACATGGATTTTAGACACTGTGTCCCAAAACCTCCAAAATTTCTTAAAAAACGTGGATATAAGCCTTCAATTTTGGAATTTTTTTAATTTTTTTCGCCCAAAAATAAATTGTCGAAATTTTTACCATGGTCCCTAATACCCTCCGAGAGACCGAGAGTTCAATTGGGTGGGTGGAACCATCCAATTTGCCTTTAAACGACCAATTTACCGATTTACAACTTGCACCAATATAATTAATTTAAGACTATCACGAACATTTCTGACGACAAATAATGATCATATATGGTTCCAAACAACATTATTTGACCCCGAGATGTATCCCATAGAATTTCAAGACTTTTCGACACCGGGCCCCAAAACCTCCAAAATTTCTCAAAAAACGTGGATATTAGCCTTCAATTTTGGAATTTTTTTTACTTTTTTTCGCTCGAAAATAAAAATTGCCAAATGTTTACCATGGTCCATAATACTCTCAAGGAGTCCAATTGGGTGTGTGGAAGCATCCAATTTGCTTTTAAACGGCCAACTAACCGTTTACAACGACCAATATAATTAACTTGCACCAAACCCGTTTTAACCCGTCAAAACCCGAATTTAACCCGACTTGTTAATAACCTGACCTGAATTCAACCTGACCCGTTCCTAACCCGACCCGAAATCAACCCGACTTATTATTGACCTGACCCAAATTCAACTCGATTTGTTATTGACCCGACTTAAGTTTTACTAGACCTATTACTTACCCGACCCAAAAATTCAACCCGGTCTGTTACTAACTCGACTCGAAATTAACACGACTTGTTATTGACCTGACCTAAATTCAACCCAAATTGTTCCTGACCCGATTTCAAATCACCTTATTAAATGCAATTTAGACCACCTTATTATTGTTGATC